TATCTGTTAAATGCTTCTGATAATAAATTCATTTGTATGAAGATGTGGTGAATCCATCTAACAGTGAGTTTTACTACATGATGAATAGTATAAAATTGTGTCTTTTTCATGCTCTGATCTCTCAGACACAGAAGGAGGAAAGGAGGGAGGGAGGAAGGGAAGGAGGGAGAGAGAGGAGAGAGAGAGAAAGAGAAAACATGAGTATATGCCGGGATTATTGAAATGTTTCTGGAAGATGCTCACGAAATTTCCATGCACAGTACATTATATTCTGAGATTTTGTTTTGTTCACTCCTAATGGCTTATAGGATTCATTCATTCAACAAAGATTTATTAAAGGTCTGCTGTTTGATCAACTTAGATCAATTTAACAGATTTTGAGGGGGCAGGGCAAGAGTTCAGTGTGGGGTTGCTACGTTTGAAATGTTTATTAGACATTGAAGTGAAAATGAGGAAGCAGCTGTATATACAGTCTGGAGTTCAGGAGAGGTCTAGACTGGGAGTGAATGTTGATAGAAGAATAAAGGGCCAAGATCTGAGCGTGGGGACATACGAAGATTAAAAGGTTGGAAAGAAGAAGAAACAGCAAAAGAAACAGAAAAAGGAATCATTCAGGAAGAAAGGAAGTCAAGAGTGTGTGGCGCCCTTGAAACTAAGGGAAAAATAATGTATTAAGGAGAAGAATTAGCTGTATCCTATACCACTAAGTCAAGGAAGATGGAGACTAAGAACTGGCCATTGGTTATAGAATTGTGGAGGGCCATTGGAGACCTATATGAGCAGATTTATGGAGGCTTGGGGGATCAAAGCTCGGCTTGGGTAGGGTTATAAAAGGATAGGCAGAGAGTGTTAGACAATGAGCACAGACAGCTCTTTCAAGGTGAAACAGGACAGTAGCTGGTGAGTAAGTTCTAAGAAAAAACAATTGCTGTTGTTATTAATGTGGGAGCAACAAGTATGTTTATATGTTAATGAGAATATTCTAATGGAGTATTTTTCAAACTGTCTCTAGTTAAGAACTGATTTTCTTTTTTTAAAAGAAAGGGACTGATCTCTTTTTGTACAAAATGATAAAGATTGATTAGGAGAATAAAATGAAAGAAGACATTCAAAATGTAAGCCAGATTTTCCTATAAAAAACAAAATGGCAGTTCCTCAAAAAAATCAAAACTAGAAATATCCTATGACCCAACAATACCACTTCTGGGTATATATCCAAAAGAATTGAGAACAGGGTCTTGAAGAGATATTTGCACACTTATGTCCATAGTAGCATTATTTACAGTAGCTAAGAAGTGAAGTAACCCAACTGTCCATTAACAACAGATGAATGAATAAACAAAATGTGGTATATACAGACAATGGAATGTGATTCAGCCTTTTTTAAAGGAAAGACATTCTGGCACATGCTACAACATATATGAACCTCGAGGACATTATGCTTAGTGAAATAAGCCAATTATAAAAAAAAA